GGGGGGTGGGGGGCGTAGATTACTTTCAGCAGAAGGCTGTTAAACTAGACGTGACTCCTGGACAGCACCAGCGGAAGTCACCAGAACGTGACATGAAATCTCCAATGTGATAAAAGGCTATAACTTCAAATGTAAAATTTCGCAACCTGCACAAGCAACTCCTAAAGGCTTAACGTTTTAAATTTTGCACCCGTAAAAGGCACTCCTGGTTCGGGGGCGCCTGGCTGGGTCAGTCAGAAGGGCACGCGACTCTTGATCTTGGGGTGGTGAGTTCAAGCCCTATGTTGGGTATCGTGACTATTTAAATTAATAAATAAAAACTTGAAAAAAAGAGGGTAGGTTTTACTAGTTTTGTCGGGCCATCATGACAAAATACTACTGACTGAGTGACTTAACAGAAACTTATTTTGGAGGCCACAAGCCCAAGACTACGGTCTGCGGGTTTCCAGACCTGAGGCTTCTCCCTGTGGCTTGCACATGGCCACCAGTGAGAACACAGTGGCTTCATATGGTCTCTCCTCTGTGTACCCATGTGTCTTGGGTCTCTTTTTTTTTTTTAATCCTTTAAAAATTATTTATTTCTGAGACAGAGAGGGAGCATGAGCGGGGCAGGGGCAGAGAGAGAGGGAGACACAGAATCGGAAGCAGGCTCCAGGCTCCGAGCCATCAGCACAGAGCCCGACGCGGGGCTCGAACTCACCGACCGTGAGATCATGGCCTGAGCCGAAGTTGGACGCTCAACCGACTGAGCCACCCAGGCGCCCCTCTTGTGTCTCTTTCTATGTCCTCATCTCTTCTTCTTCTTCTTCTAGGACATCAGTCATATTAGGTTAAGGCCCATCCTAGCAACCTGGTTTTCACTGGATCACCTCTTTAAAGGCCCTATCTCCTGATACAGTCACGTTCTGAAGTCACATAGTGAGAGTCAGACTCAGCGTCAGTCACATACTGAGAGTCAGGGCTTCAATATATGAATTTCGAGGGAACACAAATCCGTCCATAACCTAGGTAACCTAAAAAAGATTTTCAGACTACAAAATGAGTTCATGAGAGATGAGAGATGAGAGAGATGAGAGAGTTCATCACCACCAGACCATCATTAGGGAAAATTATGAAGGATATACTTTGGGCAGAATGCAACACCATCCCAGAGAGAAGGTCTGAGAATGTAAAAAAAAAATTAAAAAATAAAATAGAATAGTAATGTTGGGGTGCCTACTGGGTCAGTAAGTGGAGCATGATCTTGGGGTTGTGCGTTTGAGCCCCATATTGGGTGGGGAGATTACTTAAAAACAGAATCTTAACTGAACTAAAAATAGCAGACAATAGTAATTCATACACTGGGAACAAATGAAGGGAAGGTAAAGTGTTCTCAGGTCCTTGTATTATCCAGAAGCGGACGAAAGCGTAAATAGTGATTTCAATATGTGAACTATGCATTTGTAATTTCCGGGATGCCCAGTGAAGGAACAGAAACGGGGCACCTGCGTGGCTCAGTTGCCTTCTGCTCAGAACCCCACCCTCCCACTCTCCCTCTCAATCCACCCAAACCATGATGTCCCTTGAATACCTCCGTCATGCCCTGACCTCAGGGCCTTTGCACCGGCTGCTCCCTCTGAGACATTCTTCCCCCACGTATCTCTAAGTCTCCCTCTCTCACCCCCTTTAAGTCTCTTCTCTAATGTTACCTCCTCCAAAAGATCTTCCCTGGCTGTTCTCTACCTGTATCCCACACCTTTTATTTTTTTTCTCTATAGCACATAGTCTTACCCAATACACTATCTATCATCTGTCTATCTTATTTGTTACCTGTAGAAAATTCCAGCTCCATGAAGGCAGGGGATTTCTGGATATTTTGCTCATCGCTGTATCTTTAGCAACTAGAACTGTGCCAGACACACATCAAGTGATCAGTAAATGTTTGTTGAATGAATGAGCAAATATTCTCCCCATCTCTCTGGGCCCCCACTGTCTGCATGCCTCAGCATAGCACTCCTCAGTAAATCTTTAGTGAGAGAGATTAAGCATAATGGCCAAAGGTCACTATATACCTGTGCTAATGACTTTACCTGTGTTCTCAACTGTCATCCTCAAAAGCAGCCCCAGGCGCCCCTGGGTGG